AATGTACACTCGTATCGCATCGTGCGTATGTGATACATGTGGTAGCTCCCGATCGCAGTTGATGCTGTCTTTGTTTATAATATCTAAGTAGAAGTTTGACACTGGACACTGAAAGTTTTGTCACATAAATAGCATTTATAACGGAATCGTTTTTACTAATAGAGAAGAAGCGTCGTGGCGTAACTTTCCTAAACAATAGCTTATTAAAACGTCATGCTGCGGTTAATTTTGGCAGGTTAACGGTTAAAGTGTTTTTTCTAAAATTCCCAGCCCTAGTGATATTATGAATTCAAGATTAAAATGATTAAGACAAGTGCAAAACAATTTTGTTAGAATTTCTTTTGGAAGGATGCATTGCTTTCTTTGGGCGACAGTCAGTGGTAAAAACGACCAGTGACCTGATTCGGGCCAGCAAACGTTTCAAAACCTCTATACTTTGCTTGCTGCACTCTCTACTTGCTCGCTTGCTTTTTTTCCTTGCTCACTACGGCTCATCCTTGCAATCTCAATTGCTCGCTCCTTCGCGCTCCACTAGAAGGATGCATTGGTTTCTTTGGGCGACAGTCAGTGGTAAAAACGACCAGTGACCAACAAACGTTTCAAAACCTCTATATTTTGCTTGCTGCACTCTACTTGCTCGCCTGCGTTTTTTCCTTGCTCGCTACTACTTCCTTGCAATCTCACTTGCTCGCTCCTTTGCGCCCCACTGACTGCTTCACATGCACGGATGTTGCTTGCACACTTTACAGCTCAGCGGTCTTGCACTTGCTCACCGGACTGCCTTTCCTCCTCCCCCGCCCCATCGGTCATGCTCGCCGACTGCCCTTCCTTCTTCCACGGCCCCATCCGTACACTCATCAAGGGTGTTCACAAATGCCCTTTTTCCTGCTCCGCGATGGTTCAACATGCACGGATGTTGCTTGCACACTTTACAGCTCAGCTTCACTTCAACTTCACTTGCTCACCGGACTGCCTTTCCTCCTCCCCCGCCCCATCGGTCATGCTCGCCGACTGCCCCTTCCTTCTTCCTCTTCCCTCTTCCACGGCCCCATCCGTACAGCTCTCATCAGGATGTTCACAAATGCCCTTTTTCCTGCTCCGCGGCCCCATATTGGTCTTAAACTTGCTCGCCGACTTTGCTACGGCCCATCCTTACAACGGTCCAATGCTTTGGGCACTCAGCTGCTTGCTCACTAGCCCGCCACTTACTGCCTATCCCTCCTCCACGCCCCCATCCTCATATAGCTAAGCGCCAGCCCATCCTTATTACAGCGTTCTACAAGCTTGGGGTACTCAGCTACTGCTCACTTGCCCACACTGTGGATGTGGCTCTCTCACTTGCACACTTGCTCGCCAACTGCTTTTCCCCCCCTCCACGCCCCATCTTGCTACGCTGCACTCACACTGTTGGATTTTTTGGTTGGATGGTTTGTTTCAGTTTACTCGCCGACTGCCTCTCCCTCCTCTAAGCCGAATCCTTACAGCTTGTGCTAGTGCTAGTTACACTGGATGCCTAGATGCACTCTCTGTTGGGTGGTCTCCCTTGCTCGCCGACTGCCCTTCCTCCTTCACGGCCACATCCGTACAGAAGGTCCACTTTGCTCACCGGACTGCCTTTCCTCCCCCACGCCCACTGTTGGGTGGGCCTCAACTTGCTCGCCGACTGCCCTTCCTCGGCCACATCCGTACAGCTCAGGACTGCCTTTCTCCTCCACACCCCATATTGATTGATTTGGTGTTACTTGCTCGCCCTCCTCCAACTCTCTGTTGGGTGGGCCTCACTTGCTCGCCGACTGCCCTTCCTCCGCCACATCCGTACAGCTCAGCTCAGGACTGCCTTTCTCCTTGACACCACCATTAATTGGTGTTACTTGCTCGCCGACTGCCTTTCCTCCCCCACGCCCACTGTGGTCTTACTCGCCCGCTTATAGCGGTCTACTTCTTCGGTACTCATCTGCACTCACACTGTTGGACGATTTCAGTTTACTCGCCGACTGCCCTCCTCCACGCCCAATCCTACAGCTCAGCGGTCTAGTCTAGTGCTTCTATACTCAGCTGCACTTTCTGTTGGCTGGTCTTCACTGGCTCGTCGACTGCCTTTCCTGCACTTTCCTCTTCTCACTTGCACATCTGCCGCTATCCCCCCTTATTGCTTATCTATATAACTCCTGGCTCGCCTGCTGGCCTATGCTCATACCCCAATCTACCTTGTGGGATTCGAACCCCTGGCCTGATGTTTGACCATGTCCCTACGCTTCCCCTGCGCCACCGCTACTGACGAGGACCGGGTTAATTAGAATATTACTTAATTAACGACGCCACGCTTGGCAGCCCAGGACTAGACTGCCCCGCGAAAATTACATTGAAAATACTGTAAACCTGCAAACCAAATTTCTGAATCTGAATGGAAGAATAATAGGACCGGAAGACAGTTCATCAATTTGGTCTTTTCTGTCTTCAGTGCCAACTGACCGTCTGATCTATGGTTTACTGTTTCTTAATTTATGAAACATCTAAGTTTGAAATTGTCGCGGCGTCATGCTTCTCTACAAATTGAAACAATATTACACACAATAGAAATAAGACGAAAAACACCGTAAATTTTGTCTTAAAAGCTCCGCGACAGGTGAAGGTTGCTACCGCAGCCAGTAAAGATGAAACGCAGTAAATTGCGCCTGGCGATGCGATATTGCGATGTACTTTTCTATTCATTCTTAGGCCATACGTCACATTTCCCCAGATTATGATGAAAAATATACGCTAATCAATGCAGGTTTGAACGCTGTGGGCGTTATCACACGTGAAAGGATTCCACGGCGCAAGGTAATTTGCGTAGCCCAGGGGTCGACAACCTGCGGCCCACGGAGTAATATAAACCGGCCCGCGACGCTTCACTGAATCATGGCGACAAAACGGATCAGGCATGTACCCTACGATTTGTGAGGAGGCAGAACCCTGGATTCTTTTATTTCCGACCTGTTATATGGTGGAAAAGATGTTTTCATCTGTGACACTCTTACTATCAAAACAACAAAATCACTTTTCCGTCAGGGGTGATTTGAGATTGTGCCTGACGAAAATGTCACCAAATATTAAAAAACTCGCTGAAGACGACCAACGACGTTTATTTGGTCTGTAATATATACGTTTCTGATTTTGCATTTTTTTTCATGGCGATGAAGATATTTGGCACGTGAATGAGGACTCGGAAACGAGATCATCCTCCCTCAGATAAAAAGTTTCAAGAATCTTGAATTATCTGATGAAACTAGGTTTTCGTTTATTTATTATCGTTTGTTAACAATCCGTTATTTCTTTAAACTTTTTTAGTCCTTTCATAACATATGATTACAAAGAAATATATTATGACATAACAACTGAGTGAGCTGTCGACAAATTTAGTCGACTGATTTGTATAAAATAGTTCGTCTATGTCCGTGTTTTATTCTACATAAACTTGTGGATCTCTGTTCTCAGCTATGAACTTTATTTAGTCTCGTAACAGAAGTAGCCTAAAACATGAAACCAGTATGTCGTCTATTTCTTTAAACGTTACAAAATATAAACCCAATGTCCAATCTCTATCAGCGGTAATGCAGCAGTAGAAGTCTCACTGATACCGTGTCTTTCCGAAAATAAGACCTACCCTGAAAATAAGACCTAGACTGAATTTTTGAAATGATTTTAATATAGGCGCTCCCCTTTAAATAAGACCTACTCAATAACGCCAATTTGTTTACCTAGTCGATAGCAAGAAATCTCTCTTACACGTTTTAAATGATTAATAATCTATGTTTTGCAGTTATTTCGAATAAAAACGTGTAATTTATAAGTAAATGGATATCGGTTTTCTTATTATATATATTGAAAAATCTCGCAATTATCTACTTGGTAATTTTGTTTTTGATAAATGAAAATATAAGACATCCTCCGAAAATAAGCCCTAGTGTTATTTTTTGGAAGAAAATTGAAATAAGACTCAGTCTTATTTTCGGGGAAACACGGTATATATAGAATAAGAAAAATAATCACATATATTTGTCGGACTGGTATTTTTCCGAATATGGAATCTGTCTGTGCACGTTTAAAGGGTTTATTATTGTGTATTTTTGCTTTGAAGTAACAAAGCATTGTTTTTAATTTTGTCGGCACGCGAAAAAATTTGTAATTAAATTTGCCGATTTTGGCATGCAAGCCGAAAAAGGTACCCACCCCTGTTCTATACCTTGCACAAAATTCACTTCCCCTGTGAGGTTCTGGTTGCACCCCTGGTTTCAACCGTTCAAAACTTTGGGATTTGACGAAATTCCCTGAGTAATAAAAGGATGGTCTGATGGCTCGAAAAGGTTACGAATCACTGATTTAAGAGTTTGCTAAATCTGAGCTTCTAAAACTTTTACAGTTCGATGTAAGCCCAGCGCTTCTCTGATTCTATGGGATGTTTTAAAATAGTGGGATTTATACGTTTCATTAGTTTTAATAGTTGTGTTTTGAATCAAAAGTATGAAATTTACATTAGATATTCCGGTAGTACTCTGTGTGTGAAATTCGAGTATTCGTTGCAACCCCAAAACTTCGTTGCTGCGTCTCACCTGCGGTGTCGCAACTCCATTTAGGGTATAGCTCTGCGCTAAATCGAGTCTTTATCAATTGTTACCATCGGTCTGGGAAATTAAACAGGACTTTTACATGTAACTCGATTATATTGCTATGTATGTTATGTCTCCAAGGTTTGGTTTGGACGGAGAAATTAGTGTAAATTGGGCATTCAAACAATCACAAGTAATATTAAGCAAATACCAAATGTCATTTGCATTGTTTATGTTTTGTGATCACGTGTCAGAAAGCGTGATCCGCTCGTAGCGATCCAGGGTTGTTGATCCTGGAATAACGGGACTAATTAAAAACGTTTAATTACAAAGGACTAATTAGCGTTTTCGTCCACTCTTCGCGCGGGAAGCACAAGCGACAACGCCTCAGTAGCAAATTTACATGATGGAGTGCAGTCGATTTTGTGTGTGGTTGGTGCTGGAATATTACTCCTTATCAGTCTGTCTCTTTGGAACAATATTCAGGTGAGCTAAATATTAACAAGTGTTTGTAAAGCTGTTATATGGTTTCCATAAAACTCTTGATTTGGTTAATATTGTTGCTTACTATTCCAATTTTTGTACGTATTGCTTTTCATAAACTGATTTCTAAATCTTTCGGTTGAAATTACAATATCCTATTATTTTCAATATGAACTAAAAATATAAACATAGACTCATTCTAAATTGACGAATTAGCGAAAGATACAAAGGTAATACAATAGCTCTGTGGTTTCATTCATCAGATATTCGATATTTTCTCAGGAGTCCTCGCATATTATATATATCCTAGAATTCAGTGATTCTCACACTTTTAAGTCGCGCCCGATATAAGCCACTACGTAAGCTGCATTTCACATGGCACGCTCTACATCAATGTAATATAGATAACTTTTGCACCCTAAATACAACACCAAATCCATGGATTTATATATACTTGGCTTTTTTACGTTTGTATATTAGTTATTGTGGATAGACGTATTCCCATTCCCGCATTAGAAAGTTCTGCAACAGTTTATTATTAATATCTTAACTTTTCAGATGCAGAACTGTTGTTGATGTTGAAATTGAAGATGCGAAGACACGATGTAACGAAACCGAGGGAAAATCTACAGGTAATATTTATACATTTTATTTGACTTTTCGACATCCATGGATTCCCGTAATCAATATGGTAATAACACATACTTAAAGTCATATATTCCATAAACAATTATAAAAGCGTCATTGGACAGTTTCTTGTCGTAATAATTGTACCCCGTTATATAATTCGAAAACTGCGAGTAGTATCTTATGAAATTAAATGTCTGTAGATATCTGTGACTGTAGAGAGGATTCTCATAAGAAGGTGAATTATAACATAATTGTTAATAGTTTACTCGTCATTTACAAGATGAGGTGCAACACAATGTACGTACAGATCATTCCAAATAAGTAATATTTCATAAATTTAGGGAAAATCTCTGAATTATTTGCAGGGATGTATCTACGCAAAAGTTTAAAAATGCGACCCCTTGATGGTTGGATCACAATTTCGAAGGGCTGTTGTTGAATTGAGATACTCGTACGTTATTATTTTGGTGAAAATACGACGATCATGTCACATACATTTATTTTCAGCTTTCTTAAACACTTGTTGAAAGTTGACAAGGCAGTATACTACTTCATCAATAGAGAAATTCGTCTCAGTAGATAGAAGCCTATCGAGTCTGACCAGCAAAGCAAGTATGTAATCGAAATCTTTCAATTTAATCGTATAATTAGGTTCAATCTAAGGATCGTTGGTTGGTTGAACAATTCCCCGGTCAAAAACAAAACACTCCCACAAACCCTCAAAATAAGAAAATTATTAACTACTCGGTTAAGGTTCTGGTCGAGAATGAAGATTGCGCTGGAAATTCAAATTTTAAAATCGTTCCTAACCCTAACTAGTTACTGATTTGCTATTTTAAAACTTGGCGGAAGGTGTTTTTATCAAGTCTCATATTTTGGGGTACTCCTGAAGTACACGTACCATGGCGGACACCGGAACGTAGTATGTGTACCAGGTTAGGGTTAGGCTATGATTTTATTGCAATTTTCCTTATTTTAGTTCTTTTAGGAGTTCTGGGACTAGCCATGTGACTCCCGTAGTATTTGTACCTAAAATTATGGCCTAACTCTAACCTGGTACACATACTATGGTATGGTGTCCGTCTTGGTACGCATACTTCAGAGCGCCCATTTTTGCATTATTGTCGAGTGCTTTTTACAAAATATTCCAATCTAATATGCTAAAATGCGCTGTTCGCCTTTTTACTACATGTTACACCTTGTTCAATTTTTATTTTCATCGTATATACCTCGCAAATAACAAAGATTATTTAATAAAATAGCGCAGAAAAGGTTGTTTGGTGAAGTCATGATAGGAGTCTTACGCTGGTCACAAAATATTATGTGTAAAAGGGAAAAACTGACTTTGATTTGTGACTATAGCTTGTACTCGGAAATTTCGAGGCGTGGACAGACAAATACTTCATAAATTTTTGAGCCCGAAGTTGAACGGACCTGTGCGCGTTCAAAAACACAAAACGGCCGGGAAATTTGATTGTTTGAATCAGGCTATAGCTCTAGTGTACCATCGTATGCCAATTGCTATTTGTATAGCCGGGATCTATCTTGGTATACACCTGTTTATTTATGGTATATCCGGTTGAATATAACTGCACTAAAAGATCACTCCAAGTAATTTTGGGGAAATCTGCGACAAATTATCTTTTTTGTATATTTAGTATAAGCTTATCTTTTTCATTCGTTCCCCTTTTCGCCAGTTTGCCCAATGCGCGCTCATATTATTTAAGGCCAAATCTGTTAGAACCAGACTTTTTTCGTCGAATCGCACTATTTTGTCCCACATACCCGTAATCTAACGTTGAATAGGTAGCAACAATCATTCTAAACAACACTTTAACTGAAGCAATAACCCGCGAATATGGCGTAATGAGCACGACACTGTCTATAACGGTGTTTTTTTAACTGGGTTTGATTAAACCGAACCTGAAGGTCCTCTGAAATAATTTTACGAAATCTTTCCTTTACTCAGCTTTTTACTTATGTAAAATTCACTATATTCCACTACAGATATCCAAACTTCCACGTTTAGCTGTCGAAATTTTGAATTCATGATAAGGCAGAAATTATTTTTTGTAACAATTTAGGATTAAAACTTTTCACTCTTTCTGCACCGCAATCCTAAGTCGTCAATGGTAGGAGCTATAGCTGTCATACCCTAGATACGCCACTGATAATTTGAGAATAAACTAAAAATAAATTTATTTTCAGCTTTCCCCAACACTGATTGAAAGTTAGCAAGACAGTACATCATTTCATCAAAAGAATTGCCTCGTCATTTGCCTGGTATTCATCACTGATTGAGATAGAAGCCTATCGAGTCTGGTCAGAAAAGCAAGTATGTAATCGAAATCTTTTGATTCTTTCAATATAATTTGCATATTTAAGTTCAATCTAAGGATCTTTTGCACAACCCCTATAGATTGCGATGAAAATTAAAAAATTTCAATTTGTTTTTAACCCTAACTAGATAGTTACTAATTCAAAACTTCACCTATGTGTTTTTATTGAGTCTCACATTTTTGCTTTAGTGTAAAAGTTTTTGTAAATAACAAAGGGTATTTAATATTATAAATTGGAGAAAGGAGTTGTTTAGTGAAATTATGACAGAAGTCTAACTCTTGTCACAAGATATTATGTGTGTCAAATTACTACTACCAAAAAACGTAAAAATTGACGTTGATTTATAACTATAGCTTTTGCTTAGAAATTAGTGAATATCGTAGCCGTAGAATTTTCGGTACTCCCGAAGTATGTGTAGCAATATGGCGGACACCTTAACGTAGTATGTGTACCAGGTTAGGGTTAGGCCATAATATTGTTCCAATACCCTTATTTTAGTTCTATTACGAGCTCGGGGGCTATCCGAGTGACTTCCGTAGTATTTGTAATTTTTTGGGAAATCTGCTTCAAATTTGATTCTTATATATCGAGTATATGCTTATCTTATAGCAGGGAAATTTCGTTTCTTTGTTCGTCTTTTCTATGGTTTAAGCAACAGCGCGCGCCTATAAATTTTCTATGGAAAGTCCGTTAGAACCAGACCATTTCATTTTGTAGAATCGCTCTTTAGACTATTCTGCCCAACATACCCGTAATTTAGCGTTAAAATGTAGCAACAATCATTCTAAACAACCCTTTAACTGAAGTAATAACCCGTAAATAGGGCGTAATGAGCACGACACTGTCTATAACGGTGTTTTTTTAAACTGGGTTTGATTAAATCGAACCCCTGGGGTCGATCTGTTCCAGGTGTTCTATGAAGGTCCTCTGAAATATTTTATGCCATGAGGTCTTTCCATTACCTAGTTTTTTACTTATGTAAAATTTTCTATATTCCACCGCAGTTTACCAAACTTCCACGTTTAGCTGTTTAATTTGGAATTAGGAATTAGTCACAATAAGAGTTTTCAATTATATCTAATTTAAAATTAATTATTTTATTAATTTAAGATTTGAGGTTTTCACTCTTTTTGCGTCGCAATCCTAAGCTAAATACACCTCTGATAATTTTAAAATGAATTAAAAATACATCAATTTTCAGCCTTTGAGAGACTGCTTGAACGTTAGAAAGACAGTACATCAATTTCATCAAAAGAATTTCGTCGTGGTAATTTGTCTGGTATTCATCACTGAGCCAGATGAGAGCCTATCGCGTCTGGCCAGCAGAGCAAGTGTGTAATCGAAATCTTTTGAGTTATTCAATACCATTTGTATATTTAGGATCAACGTAACGATCTTTTGCACACCCGTTCCCTCGGCAAAAATAAAGCACCCCCGCTATCGTTCAGAATAATAAATTAGTAATTATTCCGTCAGGGTTTAGGTTAGAAATGCAGATTGCGCTGGAAATATAAATTTACACTAACTAGATAATTACTCATTTTTAAAACTTATTTTTCAAATATCACATTTTTTCATCGGTATCAAGTGCTTTGTACAAAAGAATTCAATCTAATATACTAAAATAGTGCTCTTGAACCTTTTACTACGCGTTACATATTTTTCAATTTTTATTTTTTTGTATGTACCCTGCGAACAACAAAGGTTATTTATTAATATAAAATAGAAAAAAGTTGTTTAGCAAAGTCACGACAGAAGTGTTACTCTGGTAAAAAGATATAATGTGTGCTAAATTAACAAACTGCCTCAAAATTTACGTTGATTTATGACTATAGATTGTGCTCAGAAATAACGTAGCCGCAGACTTTTTCTTCGTATCTCTCTGCAAATAATTTTTTTCTTCGCATATTATGGTTTCTACTCGCTCATGTAATTCATCACGCAAAATTTGTGGCCGTGGATAGATAAACACCTTCCACGTTTATCTGTTTAATTTGAAATTTGTGATATGGCAGAAATATTTTATTGTAACAACTTACGATTAGAACTTTCCATTCTTTTTGAGCCGCAATCCAAAATTGCCAATGGTAGAAGCTATATCTGTCATACCCTCGATATACGTCACTGATAATTTGAGAATGAACTAAAATATATTTATTTTCAGCTTTCTAAGAGACTGCTTGAACGTTAGAAAGGCAGTACATCAATTTCATCAAACGAAATTCGCCGTGGTCATTTGTCTGGTATTCATCACTGATTAAGATGAGAGCCTATCGCGTCTGGTCAGCAGAGCAAGTATGTAATCAAAATCTTTTAAGTATTTCAATTCCATTTGCATATTTAGGACCAATTTAGGTATCTTTTGTACACCCCCTTCTCCGGTAGAAACGAAACACCCCCGCTAACGTTCAGATAATAAATTAATAATTATCTTGTCAGGGTTTGAGTTAGAAATGCAGATTGCGCTGGAAATACAAATTTACGAATAGTTTCTATCCCAAACTAGATAATTACTTATTTGTTTTTTAAAACTTGGCACATGTGTTTTTTATCAAATCTCACATTTTTGCATTAGTTTTGCGGGCTTTGTACAAAAGATCCAAATCTAGTACACTAAAATAGTGATCTTTTCATTTTCAGCTTTCTAAAGGACTGCTTGAACGTTAGAAAGACAGTACATCAATTTCATCAAAGGAATTTCGTCGTGGTCATTTTGTCTGATATTCATCACTGAGCAAGATGAGAGCTTATCGAGTCTGGCCAGCAGAGCAAGTATGTATTCGAAATCTAGTCTTTCAATTTCATTTGCATATTTAGGATCAATTTAAGGATCTTTCAACACCCCCTCCCCCGGTAAAAACAAAACACCCCCGCTATCGTTCAGAATAATAAATTAGTAATTATTCCGTCAGGGTTTAGGTTAGAAATGCAGATTGCGCTGGAAATATAAGTTTACACTAACTAAATATTTACTTTTTTTTAAAACTTGGCGCAAGTATTTATCAAATATCACATTTTTGCATCGGTATCAAGTGCTTTGTACAAAATAATTCAATCTAATACACTAAAATAGTGCTCTTGAACCTTTTACTACGTGTTACATATTTTTCAATTTTTATTTTTTTGTATGTACCTTGCAAACAACGAAGGTTATTTAATAATATAAAATAGAAAAAAGTTGTTTAGCAAAGTCACGACAGAAGTGTTACTCTGATAACAAGATATTATGTGTTCTAAATTAACAAACTACCTCAAAATTAACGTTGATTAGTGACTATATATTGTGCTCATAAATAACGTAGCCGCAGACTTTTTCCGTATATCTCTCCGCAAGTAATTATTTTATTTGCATATTATGGTTTCTACTCGCTCATGTAATTCATCACGCATAATTTGTGGCCGTGGATAGATAAACACCTTCCATCTTTATCTGTTTAATTTGAAATTCGTGATATGGCACAAATATTTTATTGTAACAATTTACGATTAGAACTTTTCATTCTTTTCGCGCCGCAATCCAGAATTGCCAATGGTAGGAGCTATACCTGCCATACCCTCGATAAACGTCACTGATAATTTAAGAATCAACTGAAAATACATTTAATTTCAGTTTTCTAAGACACTGCTTGAAAGTTAGAAAGACAGTACATCAATTCATCAAAAGAAATGCCTCGTCATTTGTCTGGTATTCATCACCGAGCAAGATGAAAGCCTATCGAATCTGGCCAGTATGCAAAGCAAGTATGTAATCAAAATATTTTGATTTTTTTTTTCAAAGTTTGATTTGCATATTTAGGTTCAATCTAAGGATTGAAGTTTTGCGCAACCCCTATAGATTGCGCAGGAAAATAATTAATTTTTAATTTTTTTTTAACCCTGACTAGATAGTTACTAATTTGTAACTCAGTGTCGAAGTTTTTGTTAAAAGATCCCAATCTAATATACTAAAATATTGCTTTTGAACCTTTTACTACGTGTTACATATTTTTCAATTTTTTTTCGTATGTACCTCGCAAATAACAAAAGTTATTTAATAATATAAAGTAGAAAAAGGTTGTTTAGTGAAGGTATGACAGAAGTCTTACTCTGGTCACAAATATTATGTGTTCTAAATTACTGCTAACGAAAAACGTAAAAATTGACGTTGATTCATAACTATAGCTTTTGCTTAGAAATTAGCGAATAACGTAGCCACAGAATTTTCGGTACTCCCAAAGTATGTGTACCAAGATGGCGTACACTGGAATGTAGTATGTGTACCAGATTAGGGTTAGACCATAATTTTGTGTCAATACTCGTATTTTAGTTATATTACGAGTTCGGGGACTAGCCGAGTGTATTTCCGTAGTATTTGTACCAGAAATTATGTCCTAATTTGCGAGTTCTGTCTTTTTTGTATATCTCTCCACCGATAATACTTTTTGTTTGATTTGGTATACACCTGGGTATATAGTATAAGTTTGTATAACCCGAAAATATCACTGCACTGAAAGGTCATTCCAAATGAGTGATATTTGTAATTTTTGGGGAATTCTGCGGTAATTTTTTTTATATTGAGTATAAGCTTATCTTATAGCAGAAAAATTGCGTTTCTTCGTTCGTCGTTTGTTTAGTTCAAGCAACAATGCGCGCCTATAAATTTTCTATGGCAAAGTCTCTTAGAACCAGACCATTTTCATTTCGTAGAATCGCATCGTAGAGATCACTATTCTGCCCAACATACCCGTAATTTAGCGTTAAAAAGTAGCAACAATCATTCTAAACAACCATTTAACTGGAGCAATAACCAGTAAATATGGCGTAATAAGCACGACATTGTCTATAACGATGTTTTTTAAACTGGGTTTGATTAAACCGAACCCCTGGGGTCGATCTGTTCCAGGTGTTCTATGAGGCTCCTCTGAAATATTTTCATGCCATGAAGTCTTTCCATTATCTAGTTTTTTTTACTTATGTGAAATTTTCTATATTCCACCACTGATATCCAAACTTTCACGTTTAGCTGTCTAATTTGGAATTAGTGATTAGGCACAATACGAGTTTCAATTATTTCCAATTTGAAATTATTTATTGTAACAATTTAGGATTAGAACTTTCCACTCTTTTTGCGTCGCAATCCTAAGCTAAATACACCTCTGATAATTTTAGAATGAACAAAAATACATTAATTTTCAGCCTTTTAAGAGACTGCTTGAACGTTAGAAAGACAGTACATCAATTTCATCAAAAGAATTTCGTCGTGGTCATTTGTCTGGTATTCGTCACTGAGCAAGATGAGAGCCTATCGAGTCTGGCCAGCAGAGCAAGTATGTAATCAAAATTTTTTGATTTCTTCAATTTCATTTGCATATTTAGGATCTTTGGTACACCCACTTCCCCGGTAGAAACAAAACACCCCCCGCTATCGTTCAGAATAATAAATTTTTAATTATTCTGTCAGGGTTTGGGTTAGAAATGCAGATTCCACTGGAAATATAAATTTACACTAACTAGATAATTACTTATTTTTAAAACTGGGCGCAAGTGGTTTTATCGAATATCACATTTTTGCATTGGTGTCAAGGGCTTTGTACAAAAGATAGAAAAAAGTTGTTTAGCGAAGTCACGACAGAAGTCTTACTCTGGTAAAAAGATATAATGTGTGCTAAATTAACAAACTACGTCAAAATTACCGTTGCTTTTGACTATAGATTGTGCTCATAAATGACGTTGCCGCAGAATTTTTCTGTATATCTCTCCGCAAGAAATTTATTTTTTTTTATTCTAAAAATTTACGATTAAAACTTATTACTTTATTACTTATTCTGACCAACAAAACGTAATTTAACGTTAAAAGATAAAAACAATCATTCTGAACAACTCACTAACTGGACTATTAACCAGTGAATATGATGTAATGAGTACGACACTGTCTATAGCGGTGTTTTTTTTTATCTTGGGTTCGATTGTACCCATAGCGTTTGAGGGAGTTGTATCCGGGGGTTCGATGAAGGTCCTCTGAAATTATTTTACGAAATCTTTTATTTACCCATCTTTTACTCATGTGAAAATTCTCCTGCAGATATGTTCAATTTGAAAATTTGTGATATGGTACACATATTTTATTGTAACAATTTACAGACTTTTTCTGTATATCTCTTTGCAAATAATTATTTTCTTTGCATATTATGGATTCTACTCGCTCATGTAACCCATCTCTTAAAATTTGTGGCCGTGAATGAATAAATCGTTTGTAATTTTTGGGCGAAATCTGCGACAAATTATTCTTTTTTTATATTGAGTATGAACTTATCTTGTAGCAGTAAGATTGCTTTCCTTCGTTCGTTTTCTCCTGTTTAAGCACCAATGCGCACATATAAATTTTTAATGGCAAAGTATGTAGGAACCAGACCATTTCAATTTTGTAGAATCGCCCCATCGATTTAACTATTCTGCCCAACAAAACCGTAATTTGGCGTTAAAAGATAGCAACAATCATTCTGAACAACCCGTTACCTAGAGCAATATTCTCTGTTGTGTCCTCTAGTCTGATGTGAAGATGTACCGATGTATCGGTATCGGCAGTATCGGCCGATTTTTTGACATTAGTATTGTATCGGTATCGACTAAATGTATACCGATATTTCCGATATATTTAGCTTTTATATGATCAAAATGTTTTAAAATTAGGTGTATCTGAATGAGCCATGTACGTCCCCACCCTCACGAGTATAAACGGGATTCTGACTTGTTTTTAGCTATTTCAGCCAAACTAGTTAAATCGGATATTTCGCTGCCAACATTTTATATTGACATTTTTAATATTACATGCAATTAGGAAGAAATTTAAAAATTATTGTATTTTGGAATATGTAAAATACAAAATACGACGTTGTGCTATGAGTTTTCTAATTGAATGCCGAGATCATTAGCGTCAGTTTACAATGCACCCGAACCAATTAACGCGTCCCGATCGCAAACATCAATTTTTCTTTCATGTGATATATTTATTTTTTAATCTTAAATGATGTGTATTATGAATATGTACAAAGGAATTTTTTGACTAATGCAAAAAGTGTTAAATTTGAGAAAAACATCACGTTTTGAAAAAAATCGGAGAAAAACGGAAATTTCCGTGAAGCTTGTGAGAAATATGAGATTTGTTTGAATCATCTCTTTAAATCAGGGGTGTGCAACCTTTTTTCTCAGGCGGGCCAGATATCAATACCTGGGTAAAACCGCGGGCCGCATCTTAAATTAACTTAGGCTTTCTATTATTTGCAGGCACAAAATAGTGTCCTCTTGTTATTGATCCTAAGGCATTATTAGGGGTCCTTGCAAAAGTTATGACTTAAAACGCATAAATTTCTGGAAACTGTTTTTCAAATTTATTATCACACCAAATTAAAAAAAAAATCAATGAGAAATTTGCTGCTAGATTCTTTTCTCGACTACTTTTATACAAATTATCTCTAATGGAAGTGTTAGCAATTCGATATTCATTTTCCAAGTCTTCTTCTGGCGGTTTCGTGACGCCCAAGAACTATTTTGAGTTGAAAAGTGTCTTATTTGAAGCTATGACTTTTTTCAAGTGTGGAAAGAGTTATCTAGTTAATAGATGTTTTCGATAAAAATCGCCTGGATTCATTTCCAAATATTTGCTGTTGAATCTTATTTTAGATTAGATATAGACAAAATTAACTGACAGACTGGAACCAAATCTCATTTAGCTTTTAAAATAT